GCACAGGGTGAGTGTCATTCCCCATCAGGTATTACTTGTGAAATGAACCCGTAAATGAAAGGCTGGCATAATGTTACTGCTCTGATTATCTGCCATTAGTTTAACTCTAACTCAACTCCCTTGGCCATGTCTCTGGTATATACTTTCTCTGTCATTTAATTAAATATCACTTCATAATATTTGTTAATGAGCCTTCCCTGGGCAGAATCAGGAGTGTGTCCTGGGGGCCCTGTCATCCGTGGTTGGCGGGGGAGCTCTGTCCGCCCACGACTTCTCAGTTCCTTCATCAGCCTTGTCGGCCGTGTGGCACAGGTGGTGCTGGTTGTCTCCTCAGTCTCCAGGGTTGGCATACGAGCCACGTATGGCCAACACGAGGGCCCATCCCCCGATCATAGGGGTCTGTTGAGGAATAAGCATGTGGCTCAATCCGGGTGACCTAGAGTCCTTCCTGGAAAAGATTCTTTATTTTCCCTGTGACAGTGAGCTTGGGACCACCTGTGGATGCCTCGCTACCCAATAGAGAGAGAAACATGGAGAACGAAGCCCAGGAAAGCCTAGAGAAGGAGGAGATCAAGCCCTGATGGTGCTTTAACTGCTACGGTACATCTCACCTTAAAATCTACCACTTGCACTAGAGTTACATGACTCCGCCCTCCCTCCCTCCCTTTCCTTTTCCTTAGGCTAGCTTGAATGTGCTCTGATTGCCATAACCAAAAGGGTCCGGATAAATGCCTCTTTTCAAGTTTGTGCCGTAAATACTTTGGCCTCCGTATGACCCCACAGTATTGTGTCAGCTTAGCCTGCCTGCCCAGGTGGGAGGTACAGCGAACAGTCTTCTCTAGAACCTACTGCCTTGTGCCTCAGGCCTTACGGACTTTGCCAAGTACCTGGCTTGGTAATTTGGCACCAAGCTGTTTAGATAAACATGTAAAATGGCTTACTGGTTTTTGAGAATGTTTACACCTTATAAGAGAAGTCAATATCTTATATAATACCATATTTTAACATGCAAGAAAGGTTGAATAAACTCAAAATAAAGAAAGTGGGGTTATCAGTAGTATGTTCCTGTAATTAGGTTTGAAAAGAAGGAAAGAACTTCATTTACTCACTTAAAAATACCTCATGCTGCTTCCTCTGAGCCAGACAGGGAATGAGGATACAATAGCAAGCAGGCCTGGTGTCTGCCCTCAAGGAAAATATTCCTTTTCCATCAGGCAAGAATGCTGTGAATCAGATAAAACTACAGTTAAACATAGAGTAAGGGTAACCTCCAGGGAAAAGAGAATTCTTTCCAGAAGGAGAGGATGGCTTTTTTGAAAGTTCCCAAGTGGACAGATACACGATTTCTCCGAAGGACTGGACAGAAGGGGCGTGGCGGCAGGTGAGACTGGAGAGGCAGACAAGGGACCAGATCGAGCCAGGCCTGTGAAGTCACAGCAACGGTGGCCGTCTCTCCTGTTCGGGCATTGGGAAGCCATTTAAGTATTTGAGTTCACAGAGTGGCACAGTTAAGTTTATGTTCTAAAGGGCCCAGTTACCACTGTAACTTGGTGATTCTTAAGCCCGGCTCCTGTTAGGATCACTGAGGCAGTGGAGCCTGAAAACAAGGTGTGGTTCTCTGATTCCCACTCCAGCCCAGCGGAGTCGTAGCCTCTGGGGTCGGCCCCTGGCACTGATCACCTATTGAGCTTGTTCCCTCCAGCATCTAACAGAAAGCTAGGCCTGAGAACCCCGACGTGAACCGTGGAGGAGATGCACCTTAATAAGATCACCTATGACACAGGCGCTGGAGCTGGCTTCCCAGCGGCTCTCAAAGTCACTGCCCCCAAAGGTGGCATTATCAAGAATCACATTAATAGAAGCAAGTGGCCCACCTGAGAGAGGCAGGTGTTCCGCTGCCCCCGAATCAGACCCAGCACACCTGAAGAGTTTGTTCACCTCTCAGCACCAAGTTTCATGAGGAGGTTAGCCGAACTGAAACATTCCTGGAAGAAAGCAAAGCAGATGATAAAGGGAATCTAAGCCATAATGAGAAGAAATGACCCAATAGTACCAGACATGTTTAAACTGTAAGTCAAAATAATTTTTAAAAAGAATGGGTTAGACCCCCTGTTTTTAGGTAAGTCAAAAAGGCTGTTATTTATTCGACTGGTAAATATGAGGGCCAATTGCATACCCGTCCTGGAAGGTGGGAATATGGCAGGAGATGATGCAGACAAAAACCCTTGTCCTCATGGAGTTTTGTTCTAGTTTAGAACGATATTTTGTCATCCACGTGACCCTTGAGGTCAGAAGTTTTAACTGAACTTCATGATTAGCAGCTATAGAGTCTGTATGTCTTATAGGGAGATCTGTTTCAGGGATTAATTTTAGAACATTCAAAGTAGAAATCTCTGAAAAGCAAAGTTAACATCCATGGAGAAGTTCCAGGAGGAGTGGTCACCAGAGAGGGCGTTCAGACTCCAATGGCGAGAATTGAAAAGCATGATAGGAAAGAGACCGATGAGTGATCCAGTCCAGTGAGCTCCAGAGGCCTTTACGGAAATGAACACCAGATACTGCAGTATTAGATAATGGAAGCATTTCCATAGTTTGAGCATTTGCTATGTGCTAGACACTTCGCTAAGTGCTTTATTATGCATTATGTCCCATAAGGCTTATAACACTCATCATACAGATGTGGAAAATGAAATTGTATCCAGCCATAATTTTTGAAAATTAAAACCATTACTCCTACAAATATGAACTGAAATACCTCAAAGATTTGATTTGATGCATTAATTGATGAGGGAGTGAGTATGATGGTAAGACTGGTACCTGTATCATTTGAGGAGCTTCTTGTTTTAGGTGCCTAAGTAAATGAATGTTAGCACAGATTGCTAGATTAGATACAAAACCAGTTAGTGTTTTACAGTGCCACACACCATCACGTTTCTTCTACTGGAGAGAAATAATTTGTATCTTTAACAGGCAGAAGTCTCCAAGGTAACATGTAGCTTTACTAACTTTGGGATCTTTACTCAGTAGTAAATTGAATTTTACTTTGAACAAAAGCACATTTCCCTTAAGTAATTCTTGAAATGGACTGTTAATCCATTGCCTGGTGTGCCTTTGAATGAACATGATAACCTTTTGGTATTATTTGCAAGTTTTGGATAATTTTTCTTAACCTTGGAAGAGTTAAGTAACTTTTTGGGATTTTCCAGCTAGTCGTGGTGTGGCTGGATCTCCAGCCGGGTCGCAAACACCCACGTGGAAGGAGACACGTAGCAAGTATTTGGGGCAGCATCTGATGTATCATGTCACCATTGTTCTGCTCTTGTGTAAGCCTAGGCTGAGTTTTTCCAGTTTCATGTTTGTTTGCTTGTTTTAATTGATTACAGACACCATTCAGTAAACCATTCAAAACTAATTATTCTTCCCCTTTGGTTTCCCCAAAAGTAGCTGGGCTCACCAAACATGATGAATGAGAAGTGAGTGGTTCTTTAAGCACTTGCTAGTTTTGACTCTGAGACAAAGGCTCTGGAATCTGGAACCCCAGATGGATATATGATTCGTTAGAATTGGTAGCAGCTATCTCCTCAGTAAGATTTCTTCCTCAGCTTACAGGGTGTTGCATTGTTGTTGTTGTTCGTTTAGGATGTTGCAATTACCAAATGTGGGAATTGCGATAGTTAATGGCCTCCAATTGTTAGAATGGTAACCTTGAGCTCCTCAGGTCTGGAGAGAGAGTCCAGTTCTCTGCAAGTGGCCCTTCGTTCTGCCTCCTGCCCTGGACTGCAGGTCAGAGGTCACTCTTTTCCTTCCCTGTGAGTTAGTCTTGAGGAAAGGCTTCAATGTCATGTTTAGGGAATGAATGAAAAGTGTAGCTGTGTGGTCAGCTCCACGTTCCCCTGGGGCATTAGGACCCATGCCTGTGTCTCAGGTGATAGGCCCCTGTTATGGTAAGGAGGCAGAAAACCAGCCTATTCAATAGGTTATTCTAGGGGCTCAGACTAGGTGTAAGAGGACAGCTTAGCTTTTAGGTAAGAGAAAGGGTCTGGCTTTTGCTCCCTTAAAAGGAAACTAAACTGCAATGTATTTATAGGCAGTGCAATAAATGCTTTACATGGATTATCTCTCCATATCCCTACCAATTCCATGAGTAAGATCCTATTATTGTACCCATTTTGCAGACAAGGATACTGATTCCAGAAGGTTAAGCAAGTTGACCAAAATTCACAGACAAAGCTAAAATTAAACCTAGGCCAACTAATTATAAGCCTATTCTTGTGAAGGTGACATGATATCTCCTCTCCCAAACGCTTCCAGGATAACGAAAGCACATAGAAAATTAGCCCAAATCCCTTGTTCTGGCCTCAACTCTAGCAAGTAACTGTCTTTGCAGCTCCGGACAAGTCCTGGAATCTGGCAGGGCCTCTATTTCCCTCTGTAACATGAGGGTAGAAACAATTTGGGCTGGACGCTCTCTGGGTTTCCCTCCAGCTCTGAAGTTCTGTGATTCTGTAATTGCATTCTGACCTTAGAATTGCACAGGGCCCCTTCCCCTACACACACACACTCTCTCACTCTCTCTCTCTCTCTCTCTCTCTCTCCCTCTCTCCCTCTCTCCCCCCTTCCCAACGCAAAAATCTAATCCCGCTGCAAGTGCCCATTGCAGTTGGATGCTAAACTCCAGACCCCACCAAATCCGATTAACTACAACCTTAGCTCAGGAACACACAGCACTGACAATCTGGCAAGGCAGGCCTTTCAAATAAGTTGCTAATGGGGTATAATTTTAGGAAGTTTAATGTTAATACTGAAAGAAAAATCCTCAAAAACAGAGGAGGCTCTCTCTTTAAATCATCTCTTTTCTACAGTGTTACCTTGACAACTTAGCTTTGGCTCTTAAAGGTTCTGGGTTTCGGTATGGGAAAAGGAGAAGGGGGTGTCCTCTTCGTATCTTTAGAGATTTCCTCTTGTTCCACGGAAACGAGAAAGGCCAAAGGTAGACCACAAAACCCAGCAGAATGTACACGGGACATCCTGACGGAGTGCCATCCAGAAATAATCACAGGTACACCGACCGCGGACACGTTCTGATCAAAGGTGCATTGGGCTCGCCTTTCTGTTTCCTATAACCGTCGCACGCATTGCCAGAGCCTGTAAAATGTTCCGTGGTCGGACCCGCACACTTACGGAGCAGAGAGCAACCAAAGTGCCTAAGAGATAATTGCACTCCTTTTAGCAGCCGCAGCCATGGATGCGCACACATCAGGACGAGGGCTCAGCTCCGAAGTCCTGAACCAGGCTGGAAATGCTAAAAATATTGTTCCCCCTCCAGCAGCTGAGATGTTGAGTGAAGACTGAGGCAACACAGGTAAGGAGATCAAATTAGAGTTCACATCTCTCAGCTGTAACAGGCTTGTTATCAGGGCCGGGGAGAGCTGGGGTGGGGGCGCCCAGGGGTCAGCCAGGAATGCAAATAGGAGCAGCAAGTTAGAAGGGGGCAATCTTGAGCAGAAGAAAGAGAAGGCTTATCTCCAGCATCTAGCACCACAGCGCAGAGCCCGCGTGGAGAATGGCTGCGAAATCCGAATTGGTTCTAGAGGCGGTTTCCTTTGTGGTCCTGCGTGTGAGCCCGGCAGGCGCCGTGGGCACTGTGGCAGGGGAGCGGGTCCGCACTCCGCACATGTGTTTCCCATTGATAGCTGGAGACAGCCCAGTAGCTCCGAGCTGGCCTGACAAAGCCGTATTGAAGCACAGACAGAGTACGGTTTCAAAGCAGTCAGAAAAAGAACGGGAATGCTGTTCAGGAAATTCTTCAGGCATGGGCAGGGACTTGGCTGCAGTTCCACTTTTGGAAAATCTGACTGGGGCAGCTTCTGAGCGCAGGCTGGGCCTGCTCACGCTCCGCGGGCCCCGAGGCCGCCGCCTCCTTCCCAGCCTCTCAGCACACACCCGGACTGAGGGCGATTTCCAACAGCTGCTTGGGGAAGCAGACGAGAGAGGTAGGGGACTGTGGCGTTCTTCTGTTTCCACGCTTCTCTTCACTTTCTAAGCCTGCTGTTTGGTTGCATGAACTCTGAGTTTCCAGGGTGTGTGTGTGTGTGAGAGAGAGAGAGAGAGTCAGAACTCCATCACTTAAACATTTGGTGTGGACTTGTACTCTCTCTCTCTCCCACTCCCTTCAAGATCTGACTTTCAACAGGGCAGAGAGACTCCTGAAAGCTAGGATTTAGCTGGCAGCACAACGTGGAAAAAAAGTGGGTGAATTCATGTGTTGTCACCCGGCTCCAACCTTCTGGAACTTTTCTGTGAGGAAGGACAATTCATTGGCAAGAAAAATCATTTGAAGTGAAACTGTCTGTGTTCTTTGCTCCAGGAGAGTTTTGAGAGGAGTGTTTGCAGCAGAAAATGGCTCTCATTTTGGGAGAGAATTAGAGTTTGAAGTTTCTAGTCTGGATCACGCTTTCTGCGTGCAGGGGCAGATGTGTGTGTACCGGTCCCTGGCACCTTTTATTATTCTATGGTATTATGATGGCCCTTAAAGGAGCCCAGTGATATATTTGCCTAGAAATATGCTGGATCAACATTTGTAATTCTGTTTCTGTGATAATTAAAAGTTTTTCTGAGTTGAAAACACTGGCAGCTATACTCTCAAAAATATGAAATACAGATGATTAAAGAGTAACAGAAAACAGTAATTTACTCCAAGTCACTGTTAAAAGATAGAGACATAATGGCATGAATTTTATTTTATTGATTGACTGATTGGATTTTACACCTTACTGAAGAGTGCATTTTTCAAAAAGCAAATTTTAAATTATCTTTCTCACACATATCAGCTATAATGCAACATAGATTTTTTCCTCCCCATAGGAAAGCTATACCTTTTTCTCTGCTTAGCGATTATAAAATACACAAAATATTGCAATTGCAATTGCATTTAAGAAACTGGGCTAGCTCAGAAAGGGGTGAACTAAATATCACTGCAACTTTGTGATTTCTGGCAGAGCAACCGGTGACAGCAATGGTGTTTTCCAAAGGGGGTTTGGCCAAGAGTCTGGTTGAGGAAACCGATGAATGAATAGGTTCTGGGATACTTCTTGAATAGCAGCAGAGTAGGAGCTAACCCTCATAGGGTGGACCACTATAAAAACAAGCGTGTATTTACTTTGGTTCTAAAATCTCTCAACAAGTAGCTAATAGTAGAGAGTAAGATTAATGGATAAATGAAGCATGGAGGGCTGTAATTTTTCCCATCTTTCTCTGTGTACAGCCTAGGGTGAGTGGACAGACATGGTGTCCTAGTGGTGGAATTTGGTTTCCAGCCAGCAGTTTTATGTTCTCCACGGTTCTGTGCTTGGAGGAGGGAATGAGGCAACAGGATTCCTTATTCTGCAGCAACCTCGCGCTGGTGGCATTGGGCAGGGGTGGGGAGGCCGGGAACCGTGGGACCCAGAACAAGAAGGGGGTGCAGTGGGAAGTCAGGACAGACAGTGACTGCGCTGTGTTTCTCTCAAGTGCCTACCGAGTGAGCAAAATGCCAAGACAGATTAGGGAGCGACACGAACCGTAGCCAAGCCCACTGCCGGTGAAAAAGGAGCCTCCAGTGAGCTCTAATGTCATCCTCTTCTAAATTTAGTCCGCGTCAAGGGCTGAGCAGAACAGGCATGAAACAGCAACTCCGGGTTGCAGGATTACGAGCAGCAGTGCCTGAAACTTGGAAGAAACTCTGGAGTTCCCCTCTACTAGAAGTATAGGAGGGAAAAATATTAAGCTCCCTTGACATCCGAAAAGAAATAAACAGAGCAGAGGGCAGAGAAGAAATCCAGGGCAGAGGTGCAGGCGGCAAGGAGAGAGGAGTGACCACAGCCCGGCCTTGGCCACGAGGCAGGCGGAGGACGCCTGTGCCCAGGGGCCAGACACATTCTGGCAACGGCAGGAAGCCGCGGGCACTGACTTGCTTGACTTGAAGTGTGTGAATCAGCCATGGCCCCGGGAGGGGCGGGGGGTACTGTTTCACCCTCTTCACTGTAGGAGACCCCACGGTCAGTCTGCCCTGCTGTGCCTTCTGGAAGCAATCAGAGAGCACGTCTTGTAAGACTGGCATCGTCCGAGGGTTCAGATTTCCTTAAGCAAGGCGGGGCCCGGCTCCGCAGGCCTTATTTTTAACCCGTGTGTGTTCCCTCAGTGCTGTTCCTGCCGGGGTGTCAAGTGACCGGCCGGCTGGAGGCGGGTGGACGGTTGCAGTGGTCAGAGCTCGCTCAGGGCACCTCTCATGGGGACGTTAGTGTCCAGGCGGAGTCCTGAAAGGAAACACAGAACGTTGTGTGTGCCTTATTTTTAATGCGTTTCTTGAATCTTTAATCTCATTTTAAACACCGCCTCAAAGGGCCTGTACAACCCTGTTGGTGAAAGTGTACTGTATTTGTTCCATCAGATGAGGAAGTTCCTGGAGTCATGGATTTCACCATCTGGAAGGGATTTGGCTATCAAGAGCCAAAATTTCTTGAATTTGAGAGTTATAGTTCAGAATTTCTTGAATTTGAGTGATACAGTAACCCCTTTTAACAGGAATGGAAAAAAGATCTCTTCCTCCATTGTTGATTTAATCATTTTCATGATACTTGTTATTTAAATATGTACAAACCCAAAATATCCACCAGGATATTATCTCTCAAAATAGAAATATTTACCTGTTTTAATCATTGTTGAACAGCTATAATACTAAAACAAATTTATGAATCAAATACAGAGAAAGCTATGTAATGTAATGTTCAGATTATCAAAATCGGTGCCTTTCATAGAGAACTTTACTGAAATTTATGAGGCTGGCCTTATGAGCAGGAGGCCAGCAGCTGTCTAGAGACTCTTTACATTTCGGTGCATTCAGACTCCTGAGTTCTGGACAGACTCTCGGTTCCTCCGTGACTTTTCCCCTTCACATCTCCTTTCATGTGCATGCCCCAGTGGCCTTTGACCTGTACCTGCAGGGAACGTGCCATGTGGTGTTCCATCCCACTTAGTGCCTCCCTGATCGTTCACAGCGGTGTGGACTTGCTGGTCGCCAACACGATCCTGCAGCGAGCACAAACTCAGACACCACACCTGCGAGGGCGGAGCCATCGGCCGTGAATCATGTTGACATTTTCTAGATCAGATTTACATAAACAAAATAAGCAGGTAAAAAGCAAAGAAAAACAGACACGAGAACAAATGTTGTCGAGAGCTCTCAGATCCCTAAGGAGATCTGAGGATCCCTGGTGACTGGAGGTGTCGACCTTAGCAGATGCTGGCCGTGGCTAGTTGGCCGCATGGACAAACCCCTGCAGGGGTGTGGGGAGAAACAGCCCTGGAAACACCCCATCTGTGTTTCTGATGTCACCCGGCCACTGCGTTTGTTTCCTGCTTTGGGGTTTTGCGAGAGACTTCACTTGAAAGAGTTTCCATGCTGTGCGAGTGAACTTTACATTGGACTGCAGCTGACAGAAAGCTCTCTCCCTGTAGCCCAAGCACACGAGAGCTGACTTTGCGCACATGTAGACGCCGGCCACTCCCAGACACTCCAGGCAGGAGCCGACATTAAGCGGTGTCTCCAAGGATCAGAACTTCCTTTCTGCTCCATCATCCTCAACTCTTCATGCTCATCTCTATGTGCCACATTTAAGTCAGGACAGTGGTGGCAGGATGTGAAGGTGATAAGTATTTTCCCTCATGAGCTGTTGCCCACTTAGTCACAGAGGGATCACCGCCCCAACCCTGTGTTGATCTTTCCTGGTGTCTCAGAACATGCAGCCCAAACTGGTCGCAGGCCTGCTGGCCCCATGGAACGATGTTACCATGATGGTACGAAGAGGTTTCACCCTCTAGGTGTGAGCAGGAGCCCACACACTGAGATCAAGGACTTTCGGCCTCATGGTGAGCATAGCAGTGACCAGCAGGGAGGATGTCTGTGCATAGGCAGGATAGTTTTGGCCACAAATGCTTAATTTAAAAAAATGAATAAACAAATACATTTTCTCCTTTATGTTTTTCAGCTTTGTTAGGTATTATTGACATATTGTGGAATTCACCCATAAGAATATAATGCTTTTTTAGTCCATTGATACAGTGCTGCAATGGGCAGTTTTAGAACACGTCCATCAGCTCAGCAAGTCTCCTTGTGCCCACTGAGTCAGCTCTTGTTCGCATTCCCAGCCCCAGGTAACCATTGGTCTGCCTTCTGGCTCCATAGTTCTTCCCATTCTAGCAATTGTATGAAGGAGACATTACGTGGCCCAGAATGTGGTTTATCATTGTGAGGGTTCTGAGTACTCTGGAAAACAATATGTTTCTTCCATTTTCAAGTGGACACCGGTCCTAACTGGTCTGGCTCAGTGGGTTGACCATCATCCTGCAAACCGAAAGGTCATCAGTTCGATTCCCAGTCAGGGCACATGCTTGAGTTGCGGGCCAGGTCCCCAGTTGGGGGCGTGCAAAAGGCAACCAATCGATGTTTCCCTAACACATCGATATTGCCTTCCTCCCTCTCTCTCCCTCCTTTCTCTTTTCTCTAAAAATAAAATCTTTTTTAAAAATTGTTAAAAAAAAAAAGAGTGGACACTGAGAGCAGAAAAGATGTGTTCCCTGCCTAGGAAACCCAGGCAGCCTGAGACAGCAGTGCCTCTTGTTCCCGCCTCTGAGTCTGCTGTGGGCTACACATCACATGTGTTGGCTTGGTACTGGCTGCAGCCGTGCTGGAGAAAGTAACATGGGGGTGGAATCTTACTGTTAGCAGGTCCCTCCGACGTTACCTGGCTCCGTGGTTTCTCAAAACCTCCTGAATTGGAATTTCTGAGATCGGAGTTGGGGAATCCCTATCGTTTTAAGAGCTGCTGAGAGAGTCTTTTGAAGCCAGCCAGGCATGGGTCCACAGAACTGAGTTTAACACTGCCCTGGCTAAATCACCATTCGCTGCAGGGACGCCACGGGTAGCACGGCCAGCAGACGCCAGCCAGATGTGATC